CCGCTGACACGCCCACTTGCCGAGTATTCCCCAATGGCCGGGGCCTGGGATCCCTCAGCACGTCGCACGTTAATGGCTCAGCAAAGGGAAAAGCTGGAAAAACCAGCAAGAAAGGTGAGGGTTCTCCAGAGAGAAAGAAAAAACCGGCACAAAATAATTGTTTTCCGTTGAGCAATAATTTTCTATACCTTTGCCCCCAATATAGAGCCTGTCAGTGGGCGTGGTCATGCCTTATTCTCGGTCCAGCAAATTGAGTTAAGTGCAAAAATAAAATAAAAACAAAAATAATAAAATGCAAAAGCCAAGCCCAAAGCTGACAGGCAAAAACTGGGTGAAAATGGCTGAAGAAAAAAGAGCGGAAGTGGAACATTTGCCTGCTTGTCCACATTAAAACGAGGTATGGGTTAATTAAGTCAACTAATCTAAATGATTTGTGGTGCTTTAGGCCAAAGAACTAGAAAGGGAATTTAAAAATGTACTAAGATTTAGAAGGAAATGCCTATAAAATGTACAAGATTTAGAGATTTTTAAATATTTTTAGAATTTAATTAATATTTAATTTATATTTTCATTTTTATTTATATTAAACCATCAATTTAAGGTTTAAAAATAATTATTTAAAGATTTTAAGAGGATGTTTTCAGCTCTAAAATTCAAAAATATAATATTAAATATGCCCAGAATTTTCTCAGAATTTACTACGAATTTTTAAAAGTTTTTAAAAGCCTTTACGTATTAGTTTTAAGGTTTTTTAACCCCTTCTAAATCATTTAATTAATATTTGTTATTTTATTTACTTTCAACCATCACTTCAGAGTTCCAAAATAATTATTTAAAGATTTTAAGAGCAAGATTTCAGCTGTTAAATTAAAATATTTAATATTAAATGTACCGAAAATGTACTAAAAATGTACTAAGCATTTTTAAAGCCTTTTTAAAGGCCTTTTAAAATCTTTTTAAAGTCTTCCATCATCACGTCTTTTCAAAATAAAATATTAATTACTAAATATATTAACATTTAATGTATAAAAAATATATATAAACATTTTCCTTTGCCTTATTCAAAGCATTCTCGTAATTAAACAGCAATAATTACATGTACTTTCTCTATTAGTGTCTTTATGGCAGGATTGCGTATATCATGATGTAATTTTAATGCCCCCATGGATCTTGGCGGTCATTATTTGTTAACTTCCCACCCCCTCCTCCCACTCTTCCTAGCTTTTCCTCAACATTTTTCTCCCCCTACCCCTCCCGCAAAACACACATTAATGAGGCCACAAAATGAGCTCTTAAATGACCAACAAAAGGAGGAAAAACCAGGCTGAAAAAAAAAAGAATGAAGGAAGGAAGGAAAATTGTGAGGCAACGAAAACATTGTTGCGGCAATTGTCTTGTCTTGTGAGTAGATTTTCCTGTTATTGTTTGGCCTTTACTTTACTTCACTTTACTTTGCCTTGCTTACATTCATTACACACAAAGGGTGGCACAACAGGGTGGCTTTTCTTTTTTCCCACAAAAATGTGAGGAGAGTGAAAAGAGGAAAGCTCAGACATTGTTGCATCCTGGAGCGGAGCATGGAGGAGCCCCGTCTCATTCAGCGTTAATTTTATGGATCCTGTTCAACTAAAGAAGAGCATAAATCTCTGCTTGGGTTCTAAATTAGAATGGAAGTGGGTTTATATTATAAATATATTATAAATATTTTAAAAATATATTAAAAATATTTTATAAATATTTTAAAATTATATTAAAAATATTTTATAAATATATTTATATAATTTATATGTTTAAAAAAGATTTCTATAATTAAAAATTATTTCTAGGCCTAAAAAAAAATCTATTCTCACTAATAAAAAATTATATTATTTAAAATTTCTTCACATTTTCACGACTCACTGTCACATCTCTAGCTTAGCACTTTTCCCACACACACTAATGGAAAACCCCGTGTGCTTTTACCTTTTGTGCGGGAAAAACAGCGGCGAAAAAAAAAATTAAGAACATTTTAAAGCGCAACAGCAACGCCAAAACTCCTTTTAAGAACAAGAACTATTATGCTAGTGGCCTTCAGAGAGAAGTAGAGAGAGTTTTCCGTTGGCCGCTGGCCATTTTCCGATCCCATTTGAAAGCTTTTATAGAGAAGAAGGAAGGAAGCGCAGTTTTTCCTATGAAACAGAAGTTAACGAATAAGTTTCAGTGGCCGGGAGGGGAGAAACTGGGCGGAAAAAGGCTTGTGGTCTTAGGGATTTGTTTGGCCAAAGGTTTGACTTTGATTTTGGTTTGATTCCCTAAGCAGTTTTATGGCCAAAAGAAGTCATGTATGAAAAGGGACAAGTTCAAGGGGCTTAAAGACCTATTTAAGGACTTGGAAAATGTCAAGGATAAAATAGTCACACATGTCTTGAAGTATTAAAATTGAATTTATATTAAAAGCAAGTAATTTATTTAATGAAATATTATTTTATATTAAATTGTATGAAATACAGGCCACAACCACCTTAAAATGTGAGGAAAATATACAGAAAATCTAGAAATAGAAAAGGGGAATAACCAGGAAAAAACAGAAAAGGCTTTTTGGTTTCCTTAGGAATTTAATAAACATGGCCAGGACAAGTATTTATTAATGAAAATTTTGCTCAGGCCAAGTGAGGGATAATTCTAACCCTTTTTTATTTTTTGCTGGCAGGAAAAAGCCACAGAGTTGTGCAAATAAATATGAAAAATAGTTCACTTTCCACTCTCTTTCTCCTTGGGTTTTTTCCCCTATTTAAAATAATATATATGTCAGGGTAAATATTTATTTTCCATTTGAATCGGTTGTTATTTCAACGATATTTCCCTTTACAGAATTCCCAGCAGTAAGGGTTTTTCAAATGAAGTTCAGGGATATGTAGAAACATTTTTGTCATTTTTTATAAATTTTAAACCCTTTTTTTCTATGTTTTTTGTATAAATGTATATAACTTAACTTTTCGATTTTGTAAAGGATTCTTGGAAATAAATTAAAACATTTCAAAGCGATTTTTACCTAGAAAAATTACAGCGAGTTGCAATGTTTATTAAATTTAATTTAATTGGTTTTAATTGGTTGGCATTTTGGTTTTGCAAAATAACTAAAATGTATAAAATTCTCAGGAAATATCAATTTAATTTAATTAAAATATTTAATAACCAACTAATTTGACACTTTTAGTTATTTATCATAATTTAAACACACTTTAAAAATCTGCTAAAATAATGAGCTGTGAAATATACACAACATTCTCTTAACGATTGGCACGTTTCTCGATTTAAATTGGAAAAGCTGGCAGAGAGAGAACCAACAAAAACAACAAAAAAGAAATGGGGAAAAACGTTGGAAAAATCCAAAACAAATCACTTTGCATCAATTTAATGCTGCAATGTGTCATCAAAAATTTATTGATGAACCACGGTCATCAGGTCGCGGAGCGTTTAATCAGATTGTTTTGCGAAAAAGCAATTTGTAGCCATTTTCCAACATTTTCCAACGATTTCCACCATTTCCCACTCCCATATACTCCTCCTATATACAAGCCTGCTTTGTATTTGTGGCATAGTTTGTTTCTGTCATCGTTTGCACGCGTAATTGCCGGATAAAGTGGCGATTTGATGGTTCCGATTTGATCGGCACTTGCAACATGTTGCAACTGGGATGCACTGGCTCCTTGGATATATGGTATGTATATGCTATATGGATGGATATATCCCCCTTTTGTTGCTTTATTGTTGCCATTTAAGCATCTCTTGAGTGTTATGAGCGGCCATAAAAATGGCGACGAAGGCAAAGGATATGTATGTCATGCGTGGGTCCTTGGGGCGATAAAGCAGAAGTGGGAGGGAAAACTGGCAGAAACTGATGGAAAAACTGATGAAAAAAACTGGCAAAGGCAGAGCCACACATGCATAGGGAAATGCACGTAGGTGGCCATAACTTGAGGCGCCAGTTAACTGCATTGCGTGTTGGCCTTTTTTTTTTAATGGCTCCTCACAAATGCAGGACCCAATGAGGCGAGGACCAGGGTCGCAGCTCCCCTTAGATCGTTGGAAAAGTATCCTTAAAAACTTATAGATCTTAGAAATTCCGAAAAATATCTATAAAGATTTTTATAGATATAATTATGTAATTATATTAAATAAATATAATTTATAATAGACACAAATTATAAATATTTAATATAATTATAAATGTATCTATAAATATATAATTATAAAATATATTTATAAATATTATTCAGAGAACAGAAATACTACAGAAAATTGTTAAGAAATTTATTAAAAACCTTCAAATTATGGATTATGGTGTAAAAAACTTTTTAAAAATAATATTAAAAATTGGTTCTTGATTAAATATTTTTAAAACCAAATTTAACACAAGATCAAGTGTTTAGAAATTTGTAATATATTTATCTTGAATAAAATGCATGTTTATAACTTTTTAAAAACATTATTAAATACAAAAACAAATGAAATTAAATTAAATTAATTATTTAAATACATTAATTGTTAGAATTAAAACCTGATTAAAGCAACATTGTGGCCCAGACCTAGCCCATTTCGAATCAGTGGTTATCAGTGTTTATTAATGGTTATCAGGGGTTCTCCTAGGGGTCGATAAGGTTGGCAAACAAATAATCCAGACGAAGCAACATCTGTTGTGCCATCCGATCGGATGGTCTGTTCAGAAAGAGCAAAGTGCAACAAAAAGACACGTCATGAAAACAGCACAGAAACAGTCAAGAAACTAAGGAAAGTTCACTTGAAAAAAATATTGATAGAATTTAGAATATTACAAAATATATAACAAATAATTTAATTATTAAATAAGCTATGAAAAATATCAGAAAAAAATAATAGGCAAGTAATTCTCTCTTTTTAAAATCGGAGAAATCTTTTTTATATATTCCACTTTTTTCTCCCAGTGTCCCAGAGAGAGTGAGAGCGACCCCACTGCGATAAGAGACCGGCATATAACCCGATCACCGCCAACGAACCCAACTCAGTGGCACCTCGTCTCTTTTCCGCTATGGATCGTTGGCAGAACCGCGTGGCCGTGATCAGTGGCGCCAGCTCTGGCATTGGTGCGGCCTGTGCCCGCCTCCTCGTTGCCGCTGGCCTCCAAGTGGTAGGTCTGGCCAGGCGTACGGAACGCCTAGAGCAACTCCGTCAATCCCTGCCCGAGGAGCAGCGTAAGCGCTTCCATCAGCAGACCTGCGATGTGTCGCAGGAGAAACAGGTGGACAGTGCCTTCGAGTGGATCGAAAAGGAGCTTGGTGGCGTCGATGTCTTGATTAATAATGCGGGAATAGTCCTAGGCGGACAACTGATAGACATGCCCACCAAGGATATAGGCAACATTTTGCAGACGAATCTCATGGGTAGCATTTACTGCACCAAATGGGCTGCCGGCAGCATGAGACGCCGCCAGGTGGCTGGACATTTGTTCTTTGTGAACAGCACCGCAGGAGTGGCGGGCTATAAACCAGATCCAGCGGATGAGAGCCTAAATGCTTATACACCCAGCAAGTTTGGTTTGACGGCAGTGCATGAGATATGCCGGCAGGAGCTGATACAGAAGGGTTCTAGGATCAAGACCACGGTGGGTGTTTATTATGAGTTCTTTTAAAAAATGTATTTAAAATTTATTGCAAATTTTTTTGTAACCCTAAGAGCATCAATCCCGGCTGGGTGGCCACTGAAATAGTCCCCGACGAGACCAAGGCCAAGCTGGGCCAGGTGATCCTTCAAGCTGAGGACGTGGCCCAGGCGGTACTCTATGCCTTGGCCACCCCACCGCATGCCCAGGTGGAGCAGATAACGCTGAGGGCGGTGGGCGAGTACTACTGATACCCTTAGCTAGCCAGATATCGCCTACTGATAAAGCCAGCTCCTCAGATTAGGCCATTGACACACAATAACAATCAAATGGAGGCGAACGACCTACAAACATACACACACACACACACAATCAAAACACAATTACACACGCACACCCCAAAAGGCACTGAGAGAAATAAATGACAAAATGACAGAAAATTATTAAAATTAGAATAAAAGAAAGGAAGTTAAATATCCTAGCTAAAATTATAAAAAATTAAAATTAGCTTAATTTTTTTATACATATTATTTTTTATATATATGTATATATTCTGTCTTCTTGTTTTTATTTCTCAAAGTTCTTTTACACACACTATACACTCGTTCGGTTGACCACAAAATTGTTTGCTTTCACCTCGTTTCATTTTACTTTTATTGTTACTGTTACGATTATTTGTTCTCCACTCTCTCTCTCTCTCTCCCCCTTTTTGTTGTTTTTTTTTTTTTGTTTACTTTCTTGGCTGTGTAGCTAAATAAATAATTCAGTTTTATAAATTACCAACAACCCTCGTCGAATCGATAGTATCAAAAGAAAAGGGTGGGGTGGAAAATATTTGCCTAGGCCTGGTTAAAGATTCATCGGCGAAGGCATAGTTAACGAGTTAGCGTTGGGTCCTGGCGATAAAGTCATCAAACTGGATTGGGGACAGTTCATAAATATACCAAAAGGCTGGGAAATAGTACCCGGACTTTTCATTCTTAAGGTGAGAAGTGAAAGGTATAGAAATGGCTTGATAAAAGTTTAATATTTAATATATATAAGAATTCCACGGAATTGCGCACAAATTTGAATTGAAAAATTCCTAGAGATTGCTGAATATGTATTTTATATTTATATTTAAATATAATATAATATAATATATATTTAATATTAAAAATAAGAACTCCTCGAAAATTTAAACAAATTTAAATGGGGAAATTCCTAGAGCTTGCTTATATTTATTTTATATTTTTATTTAAATATAATAATAATAAATGATAAAATTCCTAGAGCTTACTGTTCTATAAATATTTTACAACAAATATTTTATAGTAATATTTAATAATAATATTTAAAATATTTATTCACACAAGTTTACAATAAGAAAATTCCTAGGAGCTTGCTGGATATATTTTTTTAATTTTTATTATAATATAATTGCTTAATACACAAAATTATATTTAAATATTTAACACAATTCCCTTTTTCATTTCACAATAATTACATTTGTGCCTTTCGAAACGAAATGAAATGTTAATTATTTAATGTATATAATATAATTAAGGAAACTGTAGCAATTTCTCAGGCAGGCATACATTCAATTATTAACTTAATTTAATTGTAGAAAAAAAAGGTTATTTGTTGCAAAAACTTTTCCTTTTTTTTTCGAGCCAACTTGTCACACTGACTTTAATTTGTATTTTGCCAACCGTTTCCAGTTTATAAAGTGATTAAATTAAGTCACGAGTCAGCGAGTTCTCTCTCCCCCGCCTAGGGGGATCGGCGAAAAAGTTTGAGATATAAGCTTTTAGTTGTGGCCAAAATAGTTTTTGGGCCAAAAAGGCAACATTTTGTGTGCCACCGAAAGTTGTTTTGCCGCTTGCCACATAATCGGGGGAATTTATTTGAAAATATTTTACGTTTTCCTTGCGGCCATTTTGGGCTTATATACCGGATATTACGTATACGCATATTACGTATACGCAGTGGGGCATGTAATTGCATTCGCTGCCAAGTTTTTCGAAATTAACATACATTTTTCACATTAGAGAAGTGAAAGGGAGTGAGCTTAAGGCATCATTATCATATATCTCAAGGACTCTAATTATCTTAGAGTATTTTATTATATTTTCCGGGAACAGAATAACTTTCTGGGAAATCTTTTCTCTCATCGAAACAGCTTGTATTTCAATGGAAAAATGTAAACTTTTTTTTTTGTGGAATCTTTTAATGACAGGCCATTCGAAAAGCAGACACATATGCATGCATGCATGTTAAGCTTCGAAGGAAAGAAAAATTAAGAAAGCATAAAGGATGCAGAGGAAGGATATAGACTTCTTTCTTTTTAATTATTTAAGTTTTTGGCCAAAGAGTTGCACAAGTCATATGTTTTCACGCTGTTTTCCGTTAAGTTTCAGAGAACTTCTACAGGAATTGTTGGGATTTTTTTTTTGCTAAAATATGAGAGCTACTCAGCGTGTCCTTGTTTGTCCAGAATTGTTTTTTTTTTATAATAATTAAATATTAAATAAAATAAATATTTAAAAAAATCTATATTAAATAAATTAAAAATTAATTAGATAAAATATCAAATAAATTAACTTTTTAATAAATAAAGAGGGATGGTCTCCATTTTAAACAATTAATTTTTTATTTTTTAAAGAAGTTTTCTAAACCCTTAAAACACACACAAACTTCCTCTTAAAATCCCCTTAAAGGGTATTTCAAACTTCGTCTAACAGATGCCTGACTTCCGTTTTGTGTTTTTTCGAAAACTTTCCTCGATGATATGTGAGAGAGTGCTGTGCCGAGTGTGTGTTTTGGATCCCCCTGCTAGCCGCCCCTCCTAGAAGAAGCCAAGGATGCCTTTCGCCTGTCTGCCAGTTAGACAAGTTTCCCTTTGTTTGGCAGTACATCCCACCCCCACCCCTCCTCTTTACTGTTCACTCTTCACTCATTTCCGGCATTTTGTTTTAATTAAATTTATAACAAATGTCATATATAGCGAGAAAAGTTTGCCACCAACCAGCAGCAATGGCAGCCTGCATGCATCAGCTCTTAAAGTCAGTCTTCAGGGAACTATATAGACTCTCAGGATTAACTCAAATTTATGCAAAAGATGAGGGTCATTTGGAAAAGCCTAGAGAAAAAGCCTAGGAAAAACCGGTAATAGGAAACTCACTTCAAAAGGCACAAACGCCAGAGTTCATTTGAATAGACTTGGTTATTTGTAACAGAAACAAAGAGCAGTTTGTTCTTAGTTTAAATTACAATAATAAAGGGGATATAAAATGATTTAAACAAAAATGCTTGGATTTACTTAATAACTTGCTTATTTATTTACTGGTTATTTTTAGGTACATAATTTGTGACCATTAAAAAGCGGGGGTTTCTTTCTCAATTATTTAGTAAACTTGTCTTAGTTTGTACTTTAACTACGGTTTTTATTTTAATTATTTATTTATTTACTTTTTATATTTCTTAATTAGTTTTTTCTACATTTTCCATATCAATTATCAAGTTCAATTTAAGGCCTCTTTTATCCAGTGAAATGTCTCTGGGCGTATTTCAAATTTTCGTATTTCGTATTTTGTATTTTCTAACCAACAACGAAACCTTTGCCCTAATGCCAATATTTAAATTGAATTTAAGCTTGTACTTGTGTGTAATGAAAGCTTTCTGGCGAATATATGCTGGCTTAACCCGTTTAACTGAAATTCGTTATGGCCAAAGAGAGAGATCCAGGCCGAGGCTTGTTGGCCAAAAGCAGCCCACAACAATATGCAACATTTATGTGTGTGTGTGTGTGTGTGTGTGGCATTTTTGACGACCTTGGGGGGGGCTCTTTATATTTTTGTTCCCCTTTTTGCTACCTGCACTTGTCTCCCGTGTGGAATGCCTCCCCTTTTCGGCAGGAATTTTTGGTAGCTGCTCCTGCTGGGAGGTCTGCATTTTCCACAGAATGCAAGGCGGGGGGAGAGCAGGAGATGTGGAAACTGTGGTTCCTGTTAGTTTTCCCTGCTGCTATCGACATTTGCTTTATGACAAACCACCCCCAACAAAACACACAACACCCTCCCTTAGAGGCTGGGACCACTACTGGAGCATTCTGTTTGGGACAGTTGTGGCAAACATGTGATGATGATGATGACCTTTGAGCCCGAAAAAGCATTGCACCGGGCCAGGCCATAAAATGTTTCGAATAATTCCTAGAAATCCATGGGCTTGTCCCGTGGAAAATCCCGGTGAAAATTCCGAAACGCATATCCATCAAGAGCCAAAAAGTATGCCTATTAATAGGAAAATCACTGAATGTAGTTGACAGCTGGTAGCTTGATGAGCTTTATGGCATTTTTATTATGAGATTTAATACATTTTCTTTCTGTCTAAACTATTTAATATATTAAAAATTGCTTCCTTAAGTTTTTAATATTTAATTATAATTTAAAGCCAAGAAAATCTAGTTTCAAAACGTCTTCAACTTTCCGTTCATTGGCCTTTTGGCCAAATTGCTAGAATTAAAAGCATACATTTCATGTGATTGCCCTTTTATGGTATGTCAATCATGATTGATCCCTGGTGCTGGGGGTAATTTTTCTTTTTTTTTTTTTTTTTTTTTTGTCTTGGCCTCATTCTGTTGAAAATTCGGTCATGCCATCGTCATCGTCATCGTCATTGTCAGGCAATTTGCAAGCCAAACAAAGGCAAACAATAAGTGCCAAGAAAATTGCCCAAAGAGTGTCCTGCATTTTTGATTTTCTGATTGATGAGCTTCCAGCCAGGAGCCAGACGAGCAGCAGGAGCTTCGTGAGCTGAGCTCAAGGACCTCTAGCAGTAGAAAAAGTAGCAGTAGTTCAAATAATTCCAGAGGGATAGAGAGAAACACAATCAAACTGCACAAATATTATAGTTCAGATGAAGTTGCTGCTGTTGAGGGAGAGGTCCCTGAAAAAACATTGACAATCCGAATGGCAAACACATTCGATTTGGCTTATATTTACTTTGCATTTGCATTTAATGAAGCAAAAACAATGCCATTCAAAGGATTTTCACCTTATCCTCCTGGCCTTAATTGGAACGTCTTGAATTTGAATAAGTGAGTCAACTCAAATAGTTCGAATTCCTTACTAACTAGCTGAAAATACTTCAAATTATCCAAAGGGAATTGGAAATAATATCAAATAACTCAGATAAAAGTAAAGTTTTCCAATTTCCAAGCAAGACTTTCCCTAGTAATCAGCGAAATGCTTAATCAAATTAGTGGAAATCCATCAACTTTAGTGACAATAACAGGCCTTTTCACACTCTTGCAGTTGGCAAAGGAAATACAGTGTACAAAAATAATTTTTTTTATAAATAAAGAAAAATATATTCAAATAAATATCATATTGTATATACAAAGTGTAGTCAAATATCGTTTTATATATATAAATTGCAGCTAATTAACTTTGAAAGTTGAATAAAAATC